CCCGGGTAAAACCAGGGCCAGAGGTAGATCTTCCGTTTGGGAAGAGCCATCCCTTGCAACTTGTCAATCGAGCTTGTCGACCCAAGCGTATTGGGCTCCCGAGGGAGAAAAGCAAGCGAGGTCCATGCGGCACAGATGCTCCTCTCCCCCGAATAGCAGGGGGGGGGGGGGTGGTGCTACTCTCGGCTCCTCTTGGTCCCATCTCGCACGGCTGCCCTCGGCCAACCTCGGCCAATCTCGGCCAATCTCGGCTACTCTCCTGCGGAGTGACGAGGTACGGCCCGACGTCCTCGAAGTGCACGAGCGGGTAGAGCCGCTGCGGCCGCCGCCGCGGCGCCGCCTCCTCGAACTCTACCGACGGCGCGGCGGAGAGGGCCTGTTCACGGTTGGGGGACGGCGTGTGAACAAGACCAGCTCACGTCGACAGCTCGGCGGGCATCGCAAGGCGGGAGAGGGCCTCGAGCGGCGCCGCGGCGACGTCGGAGTTTGGCTGGACCCGCGCCGGCTGGAAGCCTGGGAGGGGGGGGGGGCGGAGGAGATTCGTCGAGATTCGCCGAGGTTTGCCGAGGTCCGCTGGCTAGAGAGCTGGAATGGGCGGGAGGAGGCGGGAGGAGGCGGGCGGGGGCGGGGGAAGGGGGGCACGGCTGGAGCACGGCTGGAGCACGGCTGGAGCACGGCTGGAGCACGGCTGGAGCACGGCTGGAGCACGGCTGGGCCCGCGTCTCTCTTCGGGGCGGTGGCTGGATCACACGGGGAGGCTGGTCAGGACCTAGAGAGGAGAGCAAGGGGAGGCCCGCTGAGAGCGGAAGCGTGTCTGGGTCCCTGGCGTGTCATCAGCAGCTAGCGTCACTGATGGTGCTCGTGGCATCTAGGGGGGGAGTGGCCGACGATGCGGCCGCGCGAGCCGTTGACGAGCCGCTTGGCCTGGTCGAGATCGCGCGAGATCGCGCGAGATCTCGCCCGAGGTTTACCCGAGATTTCGCCCGAGATTAGACCCCCCCCCTGGCGGGCCGGGCGTGGCGGCCTGGTCGATGTTCTTGCAGAGCATGACGAGGGCGCCGGGCTTCAGCTCGAGGTCGGTGGGGACGATGCACCCGTCCCTGAGCTGCTTGAGCTGCGCCGGCCTGCCCGTGTCGTTCGCCACGTACCTACCGCAGCACGGCGCCGTGGCGGCGGGCGATGCCATGGGTGGCGGCGGGCGATGCCATGGCCGCGTGCATGGACGCGTCAGTGATGCCATGGCCGTGTCCGAGGACGCGTCAGTGTTGCCATGTGCATGCATGTGTCCGTGGCGCATCAGTGATGCCATGTGCATGTCAGCCGATGGTGTCGGCGGCCCGGCGCGAGCAGAGCAGAGCGTGTGTGTGTCTGGACGCATGTCGGAAGGGTCGCCACACACGTGTACGTGCGGCCGGCCGCCGCTCCGAGGGCAGCGAGCTGCCGCGCGTTCTCGGCGTCCGCCTGCTCGATGAGTTCGGATGAAGGAGGACCAGCTGCCGAGTCACGACTGCCAGTCAGACTCGGCGTCCGCCTGCTCGTTGAGGGCGAAGAGACGGGTCGGCTGCGGCTCGGCCTACCGACGGGGGGGGGGGGGGAGCAGCCGTTCAAGCCCCATTACCAAAAAGGCCCCGAAAGGGGCCGGAAGGGCGCGGGTCCGGCTCCGGCGAAGCCGCGGGGGCAGCTCCTTGGGACGCCCCTTGGACAGGCCCGTGAAGCGTTCA